ATTCATTCCTGATCACATTGTTTCATCTACCACCGGTTGCTTTGTAAACGATCCATGATTCTATCATAATTAGCATACTCTCCGACCAAATTACTGATATAATTTCCTGCTTCAGCGAAATCTGTTTCTTCCATACCCTCATCGGTATAGTAGTGAAGAAAGACTCTGCTGTGAAACAGCGCTGTAAAAATAAATTTTAAATAACACCATTTTGCAATCCTATTTTAAATTAATTAAATGAAGCAATTGACAACCTATCATGTACAATCAATTTAAAGAAAGCTACTTCGGAAATGTGCTTCGATGTCCGCAAGCACATCTTTGACAGCAGTAGTATTGCCAAGAACTGTACCACTGAATGCAGTCGCATGAGCGGGTAATTTGTAGATATCCAAACTGATGTTATCCGGCGACAATCCGGGAGCCATCAGATATCGAACATCCCAAATTCTGGCTGTAACCTCCTGAAAAACAGGATTTAGTGTTATTTCGGTGATGGTTTAAGCGGAGCGATATAAGCATATATAAATTTACTGACAGGCTCTGATATGTTTCCTCGTATCATTGCCAAAGCATTGGAAAAAAAATGACCACGTGCTATACCACATGTTGTTATCATATTACGTCTGTGAAACAGCTGTAATTGAATTCTTAAGCACTTAAATCACATATGAATTGAAAAACTATTTCATTATACTTTCAATAATTTTTAAATCTTCTCAAACTCTATTGCGATATTCGAATATCACCAGTTCGGTGACTCGCATGAAAAGGCTTTTCTGACGCTGTGGAAGCGACAGTTTTTTTAGGAGAGCGAGGCATCTCCTCCACTCAAATAACTGCTTCTTCCATATCCAAAATAGTGATATTCAAAGCAATCTTCCAAGATGATAAAGTTAAAATTATTAGAGTAAATGAAGAAATGAGATTGGAATTTTGTAATTTAATGTAATGCTTCTAAAACTAACCTCTCGGACCAAACGCCAGACATTAATGCTGGGCGCAGTGGTATTGAGAGTAGCCGATGAAATGAAGCTGGGAGTCAGAAAGTGTAGTTCCGGAAACGGAATCATCTTGCTAACTAGTGTACGCAAATCACAATCCATTTGTCCAGGAAAACGCAAGAAACCGGTTATTCCGGACATAACCATGGATGCTTAAAAACATAGTCATTATTTACTGTTATATTTCGTTACAGCTTTATTTTTTAAATGTCTGCAACTAATGAGATTTGCATTTATTTTAGCTTCTTCTCTTATTTAATGCAGCAGCACAATTATCTTTTCCACCATAACCAAATCATTCTTCGATTTCTTCATCTATGGAATAATTTTCTTCTTCTCGAGACTAACCTAGATGATTAAGATCATCGTTATTTGGTTCACGAGTTCGCAGCATACGCCGACTAATATCATGAAGTCCATCACTGTCAATACAATATGTTATGTTCGCATTTTCCGCCAGATGTTGCAAGGATAAAATCGTATTATACGGTTGCTTCATAACACCCAACAACTGTCATCCAAATTAAAGAAAAGCTGTTAGATAAAATCATTTGATAAAATAAACTTATCAGCATCTTCAACAACAAATCCAATTCAATTTCTCTCATCCATTTCATTTCATTTTTAAATGATATGCATAATCAAGAAATGCAAAATGATTGAATAACAACCCTATTAGATGAGACTGTTGAAAATGTTGATATAAGACGGTTTGGATATTGCTCATGTATTTTTTCGATGATAAGCGCTCCAAATCCGGAACCTGTACCACCGCAAAGAGAATGAGCTACGTTAAAACCCTATAAAAGTATTTTTTTATCACGATATTTTTAATTCATACAAATAATTTATAAATAATTAGACAGTATTTTATAATTTTGAAATATGCATCCTTGTTAAAGTAATGAATGTTGCAAAACGATAGGGATTACTTTTGTTTATTGTTTCTTGAATTATTTGAATCAATTCAATTAATTGCAAACCTGTAAACCTTCACAGATGTCCGCTTCTTTTCGAATCACTTCCAATACCTCATCAATATACCTTCTTCCTTCACCATAAAATCCTTTAGCCCAGATGTTACCAGTACCACCTCTACCAGACACAAAATTGTCTCCTTGAAACAACGCTCGATGGGTCGATTGAAGCACCGCATTCAGTGAATCTGATTCCAAGTCAACAACTACGGCACGAGGAAAATGTTTATTCTCTGAATTTCATTATAGATTTATGTCCGTGCAAGAGATGAGACAAAATAAATTGACGGAATAATAAGTTAACTATCGTGCCTACTGCTCTCGATCTCTTTAGAAAAATACAAACCTTCCGTTTCTCTAAAAAACACTTCCATACGTCCCCGCTGTAATTCCGAGCTACCACTATATATACCATCAGGTCCAATACCGTGATCTTCCGCAATCATCTCCCAAAACTATAAACATCAAATTTATTTCTGACTAACTTCTTGGCTGAACACAATTTTAACTAATCAACCTTCGTTCCAATGCTGTTTCCAGAAGAGCCAGCTTGGATATTAATGACTTCCTTCATTGTTTCCTCAGAAATAATTTGCAGCCGCACCAGGATATCCGCAATTAAAAGTATTGAAATGTTCGACAAACACTTTTCTCCGTTTTTAAACATTTTTTTGAGTTATGCAAATGAACTGCATCGAAATATGCATAAATTACTGTTTCCACAATTAATACTGAAATGTGCATGTTACATACCATGAAAGAATCTCAACAAAACCTAAAACCTGAACTCATTTCAAACTATCATTTGCAGCTAACAGCTTACTGCTGGAAGAGAGGAAAAGAAAAGGAAAGCAGTTTACAGGATAAAAAATCGAACCGTATGTTCTTACTGATAAATGAGAGTAATCAAAGAGGCTTATGATTACTTACATTGGCGGTCCTTGATGATATCGATGACTGAATTCTGGATGTATTGAAAACTGTCACACTTGTCAATGTTTAATAATGCTCATATGCACATTTTTCATCCTTTAAAATCGCATAAATGTATATCTGTGATAGGTTAATAATGCTTCAGTGCTTAAGTGAACATTTTTGAAAAATCATATGGGATGCAGTTGTAATAACTATTATTGCTCAAATTGTGTTTCTGTTAAAATGATAATGTACAAACACACTATACACACTTTTCATAATTAAATAATGCATTAATGAATATTCGTGATACGATGGATAATAACGCTCATATTATGTTTTTAGTAGTTTCAATGTGTTTATGTTTGAAACAATGATCATATCAACATCATCATATCAACACCATCAAAAAATGTATTACCTACACATTCATCCCAAAAATAAATTCGTTCAAGTCATCTAATAATTAATTTAAATTAAATCAAGTATTTTGACGTCAACATAGGGCAGAGCTCTGGATCAGGAAAAAGTACCACATAAGTCATTGATCAGATTTTTTCTTCCCAAAAAAATTTTTTGTTTTTTTAGAAAAATTCATCCGCTAATTCAGTAATTATTCTAACGTAAATGAAAAAAAGACAGCAAAAATAGTTTGCATGTAAAATAAAGTTCTATATCAGTAATACCGTAAGTTAATTCATTCCTGATCACATTGTTTCATCTACCACCGGTTGCTTTGTAAACGATCCATGATTCTATCATAATTAGCATACTCTCCGACCAAATTACTGATATAATTTCCTGCTTCAGCGAAATCTGTTTCTTCCATACCCTCATCGGTATAGTAGTGAAGAAAGACTCTGCTGTGAAACAGCGCTGTAAAAATAAATTTTAAATAACACCATTTTGCAATCCTATTTTAAATCAATTAAATGAAGCAATTTACAACCTATCATGTGCAACAATTTAAAGAAAGCTACTTTCGAAAAGTTAAGTATCGTGCCTACTTCTCTCGATCTCTTTAGAAAAATACAAACATTCCGGCTCTTTATAAAATACTTTCATACATTCCAGCTGTAATTTCAAACTACCCTTTCCCCAAAATGACAAAGATCTGAGTCAAAAAAATTAACCGCTGATGCTTTTTTTTTCAAATTTCTTTCTACGTAATTCAATAAATTGAATTCAATAAATTCAATACATAATAAAATGGAGTGACAGTGCTACGAATAAATAGATAGCGATGTAATATAATATTGTGTTATTCCTTATATAAAAATCATTTCAAAAATGTATCATTTTTGATTAAGAAAAGTACACATTAAATTACTAAAATGTGCAATAAGTGGACATCATTGGATGATTAAGTTTGTTAAACTTTAATGAGTATTTGTGAAACACTTTAAGAACAGCACAGGGATATGTGTGTCAAAATTAATATTTAAACTTATGTTAACAAATCGTCCAATACGTCCAATACACATAAGAGGCAAAGCATAATTGCATATTACTAAGCTTTTAGTTTATATTTCTAATGCGACATTTTGAGTGAGTTAAAGAAATTGATTATAAGTTCGAAAAATTGAATTCGAATAAATGTTCAAAATTTCTATTATAATTAACAAAACTTTTCGATTTCAAGATTTTGTATAAATCTTTTGTAGTTAAGCATATGATGACTGTTTAGTGCTTCATTAGAAAATAAACGAAAATGTATGAAGTAATTCTGATTCTTACTTGCTAGCGAGGATTGCTTACCTTTTCCATGTTTTTTTTCCGATGCCTATATTCATGGCAACCACATCATCGTGATATTTTTCAGCCTTTCTAGCGCTAGACATTATCCATTCAGGACTATCTCATTTACACTTACATCTTTTTTTTTTAACTTTTTTTTTACTTCTTTCATTTCTTTTTTCCTCTCATTTTTCATCTGCATGGAAATATTAAAATCAAATTATATTAACATTAGAAAATTTTCCAACTGATTATAGTCATATCTCAGTTTTATTAACAAAAGAGAAAATGTTTGTGATATAATATTTCAGAGATGAATGTTCGAGATATGCATTGAGTTTCATACCATTATTTTTTTTCTAACTTTTTAGGTGAGTATAGAATATGAGAGAAATCATTCATATCCAAATTGGTCAATGTGGCAACCAAATTGGTACAAAGGTTGGTTGATTAAAATGGTCGTTAAATAAGAAATTAGATCAGAAATAAATTTCTGTTTACAGTTCTGGGAAGTAATTTCGGATGAGCATGGCATTGAGCCTAATGGGACTTATAGAGGTGACTCACCGTTGCAGTTGGAGCGCATTGATGTGTATTTCAAAGAAGCTGAAGGTTCGTATTTTTCCATTTGGATTAAGAAATTCTTTTTTTTCCAAGCAAAGGATAAATTAAAACAATCAAAACTTAACACATTTTCAGGTCCAGTGTCATTCGCATATTAATTATGCCACTTTCACTTATTATAGCGAACATAAGGAAAAAACAAACACAGTAGTTAACTTATTAAATTATTATTCCGCCACTTTACCGTTCTATTTTATCTCACTCACTTCGTGTAAAAAAATGGGTAGACATTTTTGTCATCATCATGGTCTATATCAAAATTAATTTGAAAATTTAAAAAATTAGATTTCAGGAAAAAAATATGTACCTCGTGCAGTATTGGTCGATCTGGAACCAGGAACCATGGATTCGGTACGCTCTTCAACTTATGGAAAGCTTTTTCGACCAGACAATTTCGTGTTTGGTCAAAGTGGTGCTGGAAACAACTGGGCTAAAGGTCATTACACCGAAGGAGCAGAACTTGTTGATGAGGTGTTGGATGCTCTTCGAAAAGAAGCGGAAAGCTCTGATTGTTTGCAGGTATGGAAACAATTAGTTAATTTTGTTAAAACATAGAAATTAGAAAAGAAATTCTATGTGTTGTAGTGAAAAATTCTTTTATAGGGTTTTCAACTTACTCATTCCTTGGGAGGTGGTACGGGTTCTGGAATGGGAACACTTCTCATCGCCAAAATACGTGAAGAATATCCGGATCGCATCATGTCATCATTTTCCATATTTCCATCTCCCAAAGTAAGTCATTCATTCATTTTGAATTTCTTTTTTAAATGTTAAAAGGCAATAAAAATTCAACTCTGGAACCAAAAGAAATAAACCGGAAGATTAAGCCTAGTCTTAATAAGTATTGGACATCTTTTATTGTGAAGACCTTAGAAGAACATGTTACTTCTAAGGTCTTCATGATAAGTTTGTGACAGGTATCAGATGTTATTATCGAACCGTACAATGCAACCCTATCTGTACATCAACTCGTAGAAAATACAGATGAAACATTTTGTATCGATAATGAAGCACTCTACGACATTTGTTTGCGTACTCTAAAACTTACTGGACCGACTTATGGTGATCTTAATCATTTAAGTAAGTTTTGAACTTTTTTATTCTTATACGCTATGAATAAAGTCTGCGAAAGATATGATTTCAAACTAGAAAATAATTTAAATAAAGTATAATCGGATGAGATAATTATGCGCTGACATAAAAGAAAGATCAAATTATTGTATAAAATTGACACATAAATTAAAATGCTTCAATTCATCTTTTTTAACTTGAAAAACGAGATAAGTTTTATGAATAAGACCAATGAGAAATATTTGCAAAAAAGCGTAACAGATGTAACGATGAGTAAATGATCAATGTTTAGTATCGATGGCCGTTTCGGGAGTAACCACTTGCTTACGGTTTCCTGGTCAATTAAATGCTGATCTGCGTAAACTAGCAGTTAACATGATCCCATTTCCGAGACTTCACTTTTTTATGCCTGGTTTCGCTCCGTTAACTGCTCGTAATACTGCTGCATATAGGTCACTCAAGATCAATGAATTGATCCAACAGGTTATTTTAGAAACATCAGATTAAAGATTACAATACGATCTTAATAATTTTGATTTTATAACTTTCCATTAACATACTGTTTTAGATACTATTAGGTTGAGGTGCACAAGGTATAAATATTAAGTCTTCCTTCTTTTCTAGATCTCATGGTGAATCTCCTCTTCCCCTTTTCAATAGTGGCAATCGTCCTATGTGAAAAAATCGCCTTAACGTGAACAAATAAAGCGGATAAATGAAATGATTATGTGGAAAATAGAGAAAGTTACAAAAAAAGAAATTCCTGAGAAAAGATTTTTTTGTAATTGCAAAGTAATCCTTAATAAATATATAATTTAAGATATTTAAGAATTCTATTGTAGTTGTTTGACGCACGCAATATGATGACCGCCTGTGACCCAAGGCACGGACGCTATCTAACTGTTGCCGCAATGTTCCGTGGACGACTATCGATGCATGTCCGTAAACAATTTATATAAAATTGCGAAATCGTTTAAGCCCATACTGAAACGTCACCAAGTAATACTTTTCAGGAGCTAGAAACACAAATTTTGAATGTTCAAAACAAAAACTCATCTTACTTCGTTGAGTGGATTCCAAATAATATCAAGACAGCAGTTTGTGACATACCTCCACGTGGGATTAAAAACAGTGCTACTTTCCTTGGAAATACCACTGCCATCCAAGAAATATTTATCAGAATCACTGAGCAGTTCGAAGGTTATTTTCTTTTGAGTTAATAATACAATGGTAAGTTGCAAATCTATTTTATTTATATTTTACAAGAAAAGTTTTAAATTGGATTTTCAAACTCTACACGGCGTAACATTTTGTTTTTCGTTTCATAGCGATGTTTCGACGCAGAGCCTTTTTGCATTGGTATACAGGCGAGGGTATGGACGAAATGGAATTCACAGAAGCGGATAGTAATATGAAAGATCTGATTTCGGAATATCAGCAATATCAAGATATGCCGGATGATGAGGATTCAGATGAAGCGATCAATGAACTCGGACAAGCAGATGATGATGAGAAACAGCTCAATCAGGAATGAATATCCATGCATTTAATATCATTGCTTCAGAACGTTATTTTATAATAAAAAGATTTTCATTTTGCAATTTTTATTAGTTTAAATTAAAAACATGGATATATTTATTAAGATCTTGATCAAAAACTTGCTCAGTGAAATTAATCGAGCTATAAGGAATTAAGTAGTATTTTAGCTTTTAAATATGCTTCCATTAATATTCTGGATATATTTCATTTATTTGAGAAGAAAAGTGCAATCAATACTGTATTCCAATATTGTCGCGAATTTTCTATATCAAATGACAGAACGAAAATACAAGAGAGCACAACTGTTAATCGATACCAGTGAAGTTAATCAGTTGATGAAATCTCTATCAAACAATAAAGTATTAACAATACAAAATTAAACAATGCGAAGCAAAGTGCACTGAAATTTAGTGGATATGTAAAATGAAAAATCATTAATCCTCGTCTTTGCCAGATCCAGAATTTCTAACTTTTCTGAGATCGGAAATGTGACACACGCTCGTCTTCATTTTGGTTCATCGGTAAAAATTCATATTTGCTTCATTCCATCTTCAAAATTCTCCTCTATAATACAACGATGCACCATTCTTGCTTGCACTCATGTCCTTCGCGTTATTCAATAGTGCAGTATAGGTTAGACAAACCCACCTAGGTGGCAGTGACCACTTTGCGCTTAATTTCGACATAAAATAATGAACGCATCAACAATATGAGAAGAAAAGAAGGACAATTGTTGATACAATTCATTTCTTGGCAACTGTTTGTTGAGAGGCGTTAAATCCAAACCTTTGTTATCCTCGATAACTTTTCCAAACTTTTGTTTCGCCACTTTAAGTTAAGAATTAGACTATCTAATATTGTCCTGGCTTATTGCATCAAAAATTATCATCCACTTGATTTTTCGATTCGGAGAGCAGCTCGGTATCCCACGACAATTCTAAATGAAAAGGCTTATTCGAAGAAAGATTGACATGACAATTAACGGCATCCAAAGATAAACATTCTTTAGCCAAGAATTCTGAGCAAGGAGTACTCATCTTTGAGGAGAGATTTCCATATATGATAAATCAATAGAAATCATGCAGAGATATATGTGATAAGTCACAAAAGATCATGGGATAAATCGATAGTAGATCATGCAGACTTACGAGAGATAATGATCCCGTAGTTATACAATGTGATGTGATGAGGAGAAAGAAAGAAACGATGGGAAACGCGGAGATTGCTTGATTACTCGTTAGTTACATTTGCTGTCATAGATAAAAGAAAAGACAGAGAGCATGCAATGGCGGGAAATGTTGGTAGGCAATAGCTGTGAATGATATTGGAGCAGCACAAAATGAAGAATAACGTGTGACAGGAAATTAAATTTAAAATTGGTAAAAAGTCGTGGAGAGCATCTTTTTTAGCCTAATTATCACCTTCTTACTCGTTTGAGCAATTTTTTTTCACAAAATTTCGAGTTTCCCGACA